AGACAAACAGACAGACAGATAGACAGACAGAGAGAGGGAAAGATAGACGGACGGACGGACAGGCAGACAGACGGACGGATAGACAAACAGACAGACAGATAGACAGACAGAGAGAGGGAAAGATAGACGGACGGACGAACGGACGGACGGACAGACGAACAGGCAGAGGGAAAGACAGATAGATGAACGGATAGCCGGACAGCCAGAATGAATAACGGAACGTCCGATTGACTTAGCTCGTCATTCTCAGCAATAATATAATATTTTATACATTATAAGGAATATATTATATTCCTTAAAAGGTTTGCCACGCCTTCTTCTGCAAGTTGTATACAGTTTTACAAATCCACCCAACGATATAAGAAGTAGAGTACATTCTACATTCTCTACATGTTCCGTACTCCACAGTTCGTTCCGTTTCGCCTTCCCTGCGTAGGGCGATACTCAGAGCGCTTTGAAGTGTGAGTGAGTGAGCTGGAGCGAGGCACGCTGTACTCACCCGAGTGAGCCACAGCGATCAAAGCTCAAGTGATCGACGCGTCGATCAACGTCGCGACGCTACGAAAAGCTACGCCTTTTCCATAAAATGAGTATGTATAGAAGGCTCTTCTTACAAACAAATATGGCATTTGCTATAAATAAAGGTGTGTAAATGGAGAACAAGTGCTGCTCGATTGTCGTGAATTCCTAGACTATTCCGTATAAGAAAGCGGAACTGAAACGCAAATGAAAGAGAAGAAGTGATCATAATGCATATGCACTATATGAGTAGTATATACAGAAAAATATATACATACATACATATCTATGCCCATAAATATATAAAAGTCGTTTGATATTTTAGACACTTTTGGCTAAAGGCTATAAAATAGAATTTTAGCTAAGAAGTTGAATGAATTTTAGCTAATTTTGTAAGCTGCTCTCTCTGTCTTCCCATATCTCTCGCCCTCTCTCTTTCTCTCCGTTCTCCGCTATTTCTACTACCTATGCATTCTGCTGTTGCTGCTCCTGTTGCTCTGCCTCTGCCAGCCCTTTCTCTGTCTCTCTCTCTGCCCGGCTAATGCCTTTCAGCTTGCATATGTGATATGCACAGGCGTCAAATGTTAGCGGCAATGTCAGCAGCAAGCGTCCTGCAGGATATGCTTGCCTTGCCTTGCCGCCCCATGCAAAGCTCATCAAATCACAATGCAACACACACTTTGTACATTATGTGTACAAGTGTGTGTGTGTGTGTGTGTGTTAATGATAATCATGAATATTATGCTGCTTGTTTGGTGTGTATTTTGGGCCCCGGGCAAACAGTTTGCCTGTTGTTTGCCCAACAAAATGTTAATATGCTGAGCCAGCGTCCCGAAAGCCAAACCAAACCAAACCAAACCAAGCCAAGCCAAAGCAAAGCAAAGCAAAGCAGCAGGCGCATTGTTTAAATATTTGATTAGCTTTAGTTTTGGCTTCAGCTTCAGCTTCTGCTTCAGCTCCAGATTTGGCTTTAGCCTTAGCCAGGCATCGGCCTTAATATCATCCACTTTCATTTCAGCGTTTTTTGCACCGCATTCTGTTCAAGTCTTTTGTGCGCAATAAAATCAACTTAATTAAAGTTAAACAAGCAGCTAATCAAATTTTTATTATATACTCTTGGCCAACACCCTTCAGCGCCAGACAGTTAACTAAACGTGGCGTAATTTCATTTTAAAAATGCATGCTCATGTCTCTGTCTGTGTGTGTGTGTGTGTGTGTGTGTGTGTTTGTGTTGTTGTGGCTTACATGAGACTCTCCTCATTGAGGCACTGCCAAAGCCTGGCAAAGCTAGCGAAATTTTTGTTTGTTGTGGCTTCTATTTTTTTTTCCATTTGAGCGCATATATATATGGATGTATGTATAGTCTGATACCCTGTATATATGTATGTATACATATTCGTATATTTAACAGTGATTGAAGTCTGAACTAAGTGCAGTTCAAAATAAATCTCTAACTCTAAAAAAAATACATTTAAATGCACTAAAATCCACATATATTAAATTATATTAATTTATTCATATATGTATATCTATCACATACATATATTTGTCTTAGAGTACTGTCTAATGTGTCTAATAGTGCGGCCGCAGCTGGAGTGTCTGGGGGCTCAAGTAGCCTTCATCACACATACACACCGACGCTCACACACAGAGACACGCGCTCAGATCGAAACTGCTGGGCGACAGTGAGCTCAAGTGTGTATAGCAGTGGGCAATGGCTCGTTGGCGCCTTGGAGCCACCAGGCACGCCACATGGTCGGCGTGCGATTTTCACAATCATCCACATTGTAGTGCTCGAACTCCTCGTCACAGCTCCAGCTGCCGATAATGTTGGGCCGCTCGACCAGACGCAAATTGGAGCTTAGATTGTTGGAGCTGCTGTTGTGTGGCTGGACGGTGATGATGGTGAGCTCCTTCAGCGGCAGCTCCTGGCACTGATGGCGACTGCTCTTTGCCAAAGAGCTGGCCGAGCAGCAGCAATAGCAGCAGCAGCTAGACATCTGAAGGGATGGGGGTCGAGGAAGAGAGTGAGAGAGAGAGAGTGAGTGAGTGAGCGATATAACTCTTATGAATGCAAGGCATTGAGATGAAGTAACACGAAAGATAATATAGTGAGAGAGAGGGAGGGTTAAGGAGAGGTAAGGAGAGAAGAGAGACACGGAGAGAGTGACAGAAAGAGAGAATGAGAGAAAAAAACTTTTATGAATGTATAGCATTGAGATGTAGTAATACGAAAAATAAAAGGAACAGAGAGAGAGAGAGAGAGAGAGAGAGAGAGGGAGAGAGAGAAAGAAAGAGATAATAATACCATGAATGAGCTGTAGTAGAACGAAAAATAATGGAGAGAGATAAAACCCATATGACAGGAATAATAAATAAAATAAAATATATTAAAAACAAGAAATGGGGAGAGAGAGAGCAAGAATCAATAAATTGAAGATAATTTTGAAGAATGAAGGCAGGCGAAGTTTAAAGAAATTCTGACTTAGAAACGTTCTGAAAATCTGAGTTTGTCTGAACTTATGAAGAATAAAATTGAAGAATTTGTGACTTACATAAACAACAAATCGCCTAGAGCTGCAATCAGGCCATTAATGAATGGAGTCACAGATCAGTCCAGAATTACTATAATCTCTATGCAGATGCGCAATAATAGATTCAGATCGATGTGGTTTCCCAATAGGTAGGCTCTGCTCAGTAGTACCCTCTCCTCAATAGCAGCTTCTTCTTCTCAGTTGTAGATCGTTGTAGCTCCCCAATAGGAGGTAGCCTCCCTTTGTGTGGATGGTTGCAATGGCTTTGAGCTGCGCCAGTTGCAATGTCAACGCTTTATATAGAGAGACGAGGCGAGTGCGAGTGCGAGTGCGAGTGAGCTCGATTTACTCTCGTCCAGAGTCCGAAAGTAAAAGTTTACAATGGTATTTGTTTTTATTCTATTTGTTTCTGTTTTTGTTGCTCTTTAGCTGGAAACACGCACTCGGCAACTGTTTGGCTGGACAGAGCTCTGGGAGAATGGAAAATTGTAACTAAATACTTGCTGTTTCGGTTATTCGTAATCATAATCAGCAGCTGCGACAAATTCATTTATGCAAATGCGAAATAATTTATGAAATAATTGAGTGGATTATTACAAAAATCACCAGAAATTTGTATATGCATATAGATATATATAAATATGTGTATGTGTGTGCATGTGTGTGTGTGTGTTGACATACAAGTATAAATTTTAATAAGTATAATTATGCTTAATACTGCGGCCATTCAATCAGTGGCAACGGCTGCTGCTGCGGCTGCGGCTGCGGCTGATTATCATTCATCATGATGTATAAATAATGCGGCACTGTGGAGTTGGGGGAATCGACATATTGTATTACCAATTTGCGAATGCAAATGCGCCGACAGCCGGCTGATGTCTAAAATTTCACGCACAAACTGCTGCTAAATGGCCAAAAGGTTGCCAAGGCAATGGGGGGAATAGGGATTGGGAATGGTGGAAATGTTGGAAATGCTGGAAATGGGAACGGAATATTTGTAGCTTTGTGTTACTCAAGTTTAGTTCAAAGTGAACTCTGAACCAGGCATATTGATTTACTGGTTCCCCTGGCTCTTGATTGATATGGCCAAACACCTGACCAGAGTCAGCTTTCAGCTTGCAGCCGGCTAAAAGGCAAAATAATGTGCGCCATTGCCCAGATCTACATCGGTGAAGATTTCAATTTCATCCTTGATGGCCACGCCCGAGCAGCGCTCCACGCCGGCTGCGTTGCCCTTCTGGGCGGACTGTGGCGCCGCCAGCTCTGTTAGCAGGCGACTGGGATGCACATCCGCACAGATGTTAATCTCCTCGAGGCGAGCTGGGGAATGGGAGCCGCGCATGACAACCGCCGATGGCGTCGCTAGCTGCTGCTGCTGCTGCTGCTGCTGCTGCTGTTCCGGCTCCAGCTCCAGCTCCCGCTGCAGCTCCAGCTGCAGCTGCCGTGGCTTTAGCAGTGCCTCCGGCGTTGACGACAGCGTCCGCTCCAGCTGCAGTTGCAGCTCCGGCTCCGTGGGCGTCACCAGCTGTGGCTGCGGCTGCGGCTGCGGCTGCTCCACCTTGCTGTGGCTCGGCGATTGCTGCTCCAGCTGATCGGCAAAGATCTGCTCATCGTCGTCCTGATGCTGCTTGTAGCAGTTGCCCAACGTGAAGCAGTCGGCGAAGAAGCGCATTGCTCGGCTGCCCGCCCACAACTGGCCAGTGGTCGGGGCCCGGCGGCCAAGTGCCGCCGTTATATAGAGCGCTGCGTGCTGGGTGCCCTGGCAGTTGCTTAATTGAAATGCAAATTGATTTTTCAGCTTCAGTTTCGGCACAGGTCTGTCAGCTGTTTGCTTATCGATTGATGATAGGTCGCAGCAGCTGCTTTTGTTTGCTGTTTCATTTTGCTTTTCTATAAATACATTTTCCTTTTTCTTAACACAGTTTCTTGCTTTAATTTTGTTTTTGCTGTTTGCTTTTTTATTTACTTTTTTTTATTTTTATTTTTGTTCAGTTTCAATTTCAATTAGCTGGAAAGCGGACGCAGTCAAACACAATTTACACTTTTCGTTGTCTACTTTTGTGCGCCACGCCCAAGCCCGTGCGCCCCCAGCCCCCATGGTAACTTGGCGGAGCCTAATGAGTTTTGTAATTATGCAAAGTTGAACATAATTAGAACAGCAGCTCAAATACAAAATTACTCGAGATGAAATTCAAAACGAAATGAATGAATAGAAGCATTCACAATTGCAAGGGCGGGCGGGCCGGCCAAATATCCCCCAGCTATATATGTGTGGCAGGAGGCCGCCCTGCCATCCCCATCCGGCCAGCTGCTCATAAACAATACGTTGATAAACGTTGCCAACAACCGTTAGCTGCTCTACCCAGACTACGGTTGATGCATTCTGTGAAGCTGTTTGTGACATAGAGTAGTACGTAGTACGTAGTAGCAAGTACGTAATACGCAATGTAGATCATAAATTGTAGGGGAAATGCATCAATTTAGATATGAGTGAGGTTTCAGAACAAATTTCTTTACATATGATATGAGCATAATTATATTGATAGATATATACATATGTATATATAGTCGAGTCTCGATACTTCGTATCCCGCTATATCGAAAAGCGCGATAAATCGAAAAAGATTTAATACTTTAAAGAAAATTCGTTTTCAATATTTCCCTATAATTTGAATTTCTATGTAAATCTAAAAAAAAGTGGATCTCCTTGTCATTTCGAGTTATAGGGAACCCACTGTACATATTTTCACTGCTCAGCTTATGGTTTTAGTTTATTTCTAAATGTGGATTCGTTTCAGCATTTTAAACAATATTTTAGCTTGTTTGCAAGTACAGTAAACATTGGCTTATGTAGAATTTCTGTTAATAATAAATTATTTCGATTGTTAAGTTTCGATTTGAGCTCAAGGCATATCAAATGATATATAACATGACTGCTGTTTACTGCAAAGAACTTTTAGCAATCTGTAAATACAGTAGTCACTGACTAATGTATACAGAAATGAAGAGATATTTGAATTGTGCTGCTTCATCTCGACTTGAATCGAGGCTAATGGCATTCCATAATATATTCAATATATTCCATCTCTGCTTCAACTTGGCTGCAAATACAGTAGTCATTGTCAAATAAATAACCTACCATATATTGTAAAAGAGCATGTGTTTGAATTCAAATAGACATGCATTACAAGAAAACACTCCTAAGACTCCTACGCCTAAACCATTTTCCTCCTATCTATACGAAAATACTTTCTTGCTATTCCAACAAATAATTTATATCAAATAATAATCTATTTACCTCTTAGACTCCCTGATTGGTTTAAAGTTTCATTGCAAAATAAATTTCATAGATTATTTCATTGCCATAGTTTGTTATTTCATTCAATCTCCACAAAATCCATAAAACTTCACAAATTTGCAAAAGCAAATTTGTGCAAATTGCACAATAATTACTTTTGTGAGACGAATGCAATATTTATTTCATTTGCAACTCAATTAAAATCAAAGCAATATATTTCGCTGGAAATGCAAAAAGCTGTGAATAAAAATGAAAATGAACATGAAAATACAAAAATAAAATAAAATAAACAAATAGAAAATAGGAAATTTGCTTTTCGTTTGCTCTGTTCGCTATTCCAGTTAAAGCATAGAGAATTGTGGTTTGTGCCTGTGTGTGCGTGAGAGTGTATATGTGTGTGTGTGTGAGTATTTTTGCTAAATTTAAGCTTTCATATGGTGAGTTTAAATACACTGTAAAAGAGTAATGTGAGCATATTAGTTAATTTGAGCTGAGTGTGAAGCTTTGAAGTTTTATAAAATATAATTAAACTATATAGGTATTTTTTTTAACCTCTTTGGAATGCAGTTCCTGAAGAGGCTTAAGCAATTTAGCAAACTTGAGATGATATCAAAGCAATTCATAGTCGCTCTGCCATTTTGGGCGGGTATTACGCAGTCATCTATAGTTGTTTCTCTCTCAGAATGGCTGTTAAACGCTTTGGAGTTTGTTGCAGCGCAATCTTAAAGCACTCAGGGCTACGCTCAAGAGGAGGCGTGGTCAGTAAGCCTCACATATATTAGGTTTTTCTTAGTTCTCTTCATGGAGTAGTTCAACTTCTTTGGCAGGTAATAGCTAATAGCTTTAAAGCTAAACTTCTTGTGGAGGTAAGAGCCAACAGCTTTGAAGCAAAACTTTCTTAGCGGGTAATAGCTAACAACTAGCTAATAGCTAGCAAGCTAATGAGCCAAGCTAGCTGCTTTAAAGCCGAAGAAGCTAATTGCTTCAAAGCTGAACTAAAGCAGCTAAAAGCTAACAGGCCGAGACAAGCTAAAGGCTGAACCTCTTCAGCGAATATTAGCTAACAGCTAATAGCTTTCAAGCTGAATTTCTTCCGCGGGTAATAGCTTTAAAGCTAAACTTTGCCAGCAAGCAAATAACTAGCAGCTTTAAAGCTGAACTTCTGCAACCATTAATAGCCAATAGCTTCATAGCTGAGCTTCTTCAGCGGGAAACAGCTTTAAAGCTAAGCTTTGCCAGCAAGCCAATAACTAGCTACTTTGAAGCCGTGAAGTTCCTCAGAAGCCCATTGCTTCTTAGCTTAGCCTTTCTTTAGCCGAATTTCTTTAGCGGATAATAGCATTAAAGTGGAACTTCTTCAGCGAATAATAGCTGACATCTTTAAAGCTGACTTTCTTTAGCGAGTAATAGCTTTAAAGCCAAACTTCGTCAGCAAGCTAATAACTAGCAGCTTCAAAGCTGAGCTTTAGCAGGTAATAGCCAACAGCTTGAAAGCTGTTTTAGCACTGCGAGCGAGCATTAGGCCGTCGTCTATAGCCGTCTCAAGTTTTTATTTGTTCTGCTTCTTCATTTTTTCATTTTTTTTTCTTTTTTTTTGGGTTGTGGCCAGGCAAACTAGAAAAATATCAATGTCATTTACAGGCCTTGGGCTAAATTGGGGGTTGCTGCTGTCAGTGGTGCGTGTGGTGTTGTTCAGTGTTGTTGTTGCCGTTATGTAATGTTAGATGTCTGTTTGGTGTATTTTGTGCGT